CAAGTCTAGAAAACGTGACCTGGGAGGGAAGATTGCTGGCTTTCCATGGAGAGGAGAACAACAGAACTTCCTTGCAGCACAAAGGGAAGGAAAGATGGGCTCTTCAGACCTGGATGAGGTAGGACAAGGGGGAAGGGATGAGGTTAAGGGATGAGTTTCTAGCCGAAGTTCAGTAGAGGCAGGGAACGTAGAGCATCCATAGCTGGATTTCTTTAAAACTGGCTGGACAGACATCTGGTGGGGAGCTTGGACAGAGCTATTTCTCTCAGGCCCTGAAGTCCCTTCAACCTATTTCTATTATGCTGTGACTCTGCCTTCCACCTCTCTAGAGCTGGGTTCCCAGTTGACAATGCTGGGGTATGATAATTTCTTTTTTTCCCCTTTCCTTCCCATCCCTATGTACTTTACTTGAGTGCTTTCTGCTCTTTACCCCATGCTCCTCCCCATGAGACTTTACTCTCCTGCCTGGGGGGCCTTTTTGCAGGAGTGATGCAAAGGGCATAGTGTATGCAATTGCTGGGCCATCCCAGCAAGAGAAGGGGAGGTGGAGGAATGGCAGGGGCTTTCCACCTTCTCCCGTAATTTTCTTGGCTGTACCTAGTCTAGAGTTGCTCAAACACGAAAATCCCTCAGATTGGCCAGCACAGGTGCCTAGGATCAGTATTTCATTGCACCACTGTCGAAGGGGGACATACTGTAAGGCTATAAATAGCTCTTAAGCCTTGTTATTGTCCGTGTGATTGGATAGAGGGTTGGGGCTAGGATGGGGACCTGGGTCTCCAGTTTCCGAGGCGAATGCTGCCCAGCCAGTTGTGCATTCTAGGAATCGTCACCCCAGCTCAGTTGTTCGTGTGCGTATGCATAAAATGTCATTCCTTGCAGTAGAGCTTGGGCATCGGAGAATGCCACCAGCGAGTGCTGGCCAGCAAAAAGTCTCCCCCTCTCCCCACCACCAGATGCTCCTAGACAGCACTGAGATCAGGATTAGAAATCCTGGATTTAGCTGGTGTCTGACTTTGGCTGACAGCTTTCCTGCCTCTGGATTAAAAAGCTCAGTGCCTGTGAACTGTTTGAAACGGGCTCTGTGGGGTGATGAAACATTTCCTTTGTCTTTGTGGCTGGTTGTTCCTGAGGGCCCATCCTAGCTGTTTGGAGTTGGTTGTGTCACAGTGGAACTAAAAATGGGGAAGGTTGCCTGTGGAGGCTATGGCTACGTGCTGCAGAGAGCTGCGACATGTCCTCAGCCCTTTCCAGAGTCAAATAATATAGTCTTGTCAAAACCCACAAGGCCACAAGGTTGTTGCTTTGGTTGCCGTTGGCATGTTCTTGTGACTCTTATCAATAATCTCACCTCTAGCAGTTTTAGGGCTCAAAAAATGTACCCAAGGAATTTGGCCTAACTCCCAGCACTCTCTACCCCACTAGTTGCAGGCAGGGTGGCCATATTGCTGAAATCAATCTTGAATTTTGGTTTTATATGCTCATTTGTCAGTCCTGTTCTGCGCCATCAATGTGACTTTGAGCTAAATGAACTCCAAGGAGGAGTTGGAGGGAATGCAGCTTCTGCCTGTCCTGATCCAGCTGTGAGTTGTTAGGGGAAGGGAAGAACGTCAGGGACTTTTGCATCTTCTGCTTCCACTTTAATTGGCATGGTCAGTCCCTGGCCGTTGGCAGTGATTTCTAAGCACTAGTGTAATATCTGCAGCTAAACAGCTGAGTAACAGTTGTGACGGTCGTCCAGACACCGAGGCCCTCGTGGCAATCCAAGTCAAAGGCCGTTGCTACAGGTCAGTGATCTGGTGTTCCTATTTTTGTCCACCCACGCTGTGTCTGTTGAGTTTATATTGCTGTCTGACAGCTTTTCCTTGCCCCTTTGCAGCAGTGGTTGAAATGATTTCTCTGCCTGTGCTTGTAAAATAAGTGCTCTTTAGTGTGGTCTAACGGGGAAAGGCAAGCAGCTTACCAGATTCACAGCAGTGCTGTGAAATCAGGCAGAGAACAAGAAAATTGCATCTTAAGAACAAAGCTTTTAGGAGGATGGTGGGTAGTAATCGTGAGAACATAAGTCCGTGTAGTCAAGATATGTGGACCTAAACTGTTGCTGCAATATGGTGCCGTAGAGGTGATCATCAGAGATCTCGGGGTCGGAGATGAGGATTAGAGCCCTTGCTATTATACCCTGGCTGGCTTTGTGATGGCAAGATCAAAACGTGCAACACTTGCTTCAGATATCAAAATATTGAGCCTGATTTAAAGCTTGAGCCATTAAGTTCCTTAAGTGTCATTGATGCATTGTCTCTCATGTTGCTTATGCTTGGGTGTAGATCAAGGTCAAGTTTAAACTGTTTGCTTCCTTCCTGCCCCCTTCTCTAAACACTTCCAGTGCAGTGTTGGTGGAGGGTGAGAGCTGTCTGACAGGCAATATTTAGATTCCCTAGCTGAGCCTACTGGTATGTTCCTTGATGAAGGCAGTGAGTTAAATATGAAACTCTTGACGTGTCATCATTCTTCAAAAAAACTGTCCATCAACTAACTGTTGACTTAGGCTTTCCAACCGTTGAGCATCAGGAGACACAAACCTAGTGGTTATGATGGTCTAAAACCACTTTGGACTAACCCTGTTTGTTTATAACTGGTTTGTCCTGGATTTAATGGAAATCAAAATGGATACAGAAGGAGCATAGGGTAACCTTGATTCATGCAGTTTTGAAATGGAACGCTCATTAACGAGCTACAATGTTCTTATGGCCATTAAGGTGTTAAATGTTCCTGTGAACTACCAAAGGATGCTTACTACCATGAGATGCAAATAGACTTTCTCAAGGTTATGCAGCAAGCCTATGATGGAGCAGGAGACAGAAGCCAGCTCTTCTAAGTTCCTGCTTAGAACTTAGAAGAACGTGCTGTCTTTTGTCTCTAACCAAAGCACAGATTTGAATCATTAGCTAAGCCCTACAGGCAGGTCCCCAAATCTCTGCTGCACTAGAGACTGCTTTGAGTTGGGCTAGGAAAGGGCAAGGAGACTTTCTTTTCCAGTACTTTGCTACAGGAGCTTGTTGTGGTGTCTGCCTGCGTTGATGTAGGTGCTGGGTATGCATGGATGTATATATGTTTGGGGGGTAGTGGAATACCTATTAAAGATATAACGTGAGCTTGGTGGTCTCTCTCTGATTCTTAGCAACATATAATCTTTCCTGACTGATTACTCCTAGCCGTAGCAAAATGTATAAAGAGGCCCTTGAGATCCAGCAAAAAAAGGACCTGTGCTTAATTGACTGATTTGGCAACAAGCTATTCCCTTCTGGTCAACACAGCAATTTCTCCATGGTGTCACACTAGCCAACAATCTGTGTATTTCTGGGAGAGTGACATTATCCTATCCCACCTAGTTTTAGTATGCCTTGGTAGATGTTCTCATTTAATTATTTTACTTCTATTTTTTTTACAACCTTGATGGGTTGGCTGTAATTTTGCTGCAACCAATGAAATAATCACCGAACATGTTGTGCCTGTGATGGCTCACAAAGTTATATGATATGACCTCAATCGCTAATGAAAGGGCGAGCTTGTCTAGTGTGAGGATGAGGTAATTAGACCAGGACTTCTCTGGCCTTCTCTTTATTGAAAAGTAGGAGCTCTGAATAGGCCACTTATTAAAAAAGCAATTTCCCTTCCTTTGCCAAATCTACTCCAGCTCATTCAGCTATTCTTTCAGAGGGGGTTTGGGTGGAGAGTGTGCATTGGGGGGAGTTGTGTGTATGTGTCAAGGGGATTGGGGGGGGGTGGTGGTGGTAAGTCAACTGTATTAAAGCTCAGTTGCCAGCAATGAAGTTTCTTGGTTATATTAAATGAAGCACAGGCAGCCTTGCTAAGGCTCTCCTCTCTACATCCTCCCCCTT